CGCTGGGATCGATTAACCTGTTTCTATGCTCTAAATAACACACAAACCACCTTTCACATAAACTTGGTGTGTATTTACAGTAATTTCTGAAGAACAAAGGATGAAAATATGAGAATATTACACAACTTTGATAAGAGATACTCCTTTGAGATTGAGCTGAGAAACTCTTTAGGACAGAACCTTAGAATACAATACAATATCCTTTTATTGTCACCTGTACTCCATTGTAGGAGTACAGCAAAAAGCTTTTACAATGTCTGCCTTCTTATGGTGATATCTTAGGTAAAGTATCTAGGTACAATTCTTGGATACAGCAGAGGAATAGAAGTAGTTGCTTAATTACGGAGTTGAAAAGAAGTTAAAAATTGGAAAATATTAAGGGGTTAATATTACAGTGTTCTAAGATACGTTCTAAGGAAAGGATTGTCCCCTCACACCGGTCTCCATCCAGAACTCACTCCCAGTGTGCTGCTTCGGGGGTTCTTACCTCCATGCTGCTCCAGGGTTCACTGCTCCCAGTGTTCTGGGGCTGACGGGGCATACCTGTAGGCCCAACAGCACAAGGCCACTCTGCCCAAAACTGTGCTGCACCTACATTGGGACTGTTTGAAGACAGTATAGAGGGAGCTTTAAACTATTTAACTGACTTTCCCAAGCCTTTGAATGTTTGATGGGAAAATATAGAGATAATTTGATTCTTAAAGTATATTATATCCCGAGTGTGTTTGATAGGTCAGTACCGAGGAAGCATTACTTTGCAAATAACCATTCTGTACCTAACCTGGGAGTGTTTGATATGAAATGTCGGGAACTTAATCTGTATCTAACAGTTATTAATGAATTTGGAGTACTTGTTGCTGACAATGAGGTACCCAAAGCGGAAACTACTTAAAATCACATCATTAACACTCACCTGAATTAGCACAAAAATCATTTAGAGAGAACATTTTGTATTGACCTAAATTAGATAGTAAAATTTAAAAATGCAGCAGTAGATGTTTAAAACATTAATACCCACATTTTCCCACAATTGGGTATCCCAATATCACATCTTCCAATACATGAACTGCTTCAAGGCAGATTGTAAAGGACTACATGGAGTCTTAATGACACAGAAGGAGGCCATTGGGCCTGCACATCCTTGACTGCTCTCTATAAAAACAGTTCAATCAGTCCCAGTCCCGTACTGTATGCCCGTAGACCTGAGATATATTTCCTTTAAGCACCCATCCAATTTCATAAAGAAACCAGTTGCATCTCAATGTGGTGACATCAGACACTCACCTAACGAAAAGAATACTTGCAATTATATGACACCTTTCACAACTTCAGGACTTCCCAAATCACTTCACAGTTAATTAAGAACAGGCTTCTTGAAGTGTAATCACTTTTATAATTTAGAAAGCTCAACAGCCAGGTAGCATGCCATGATCTTCCACAAACAACAATGAGATAATGACCAGATGATCTGTGTTTTGGTGATAATGGTTTAAAGGATAATTGGGAGAACTTCCCCGATCTTCTTCAAAAGTATAGGAACTGGTAGTAAGGTAACAAAATCATTTTTTAAAAAAAAACTTAATAAATTAATTAAACAGCTAATTATAACACACCAAAGATGGTAAGCATGGTGATGTGTCACAGCTGGAGGATGTGGGATTGCCAAAGTGATGAGGGCAAACTACAGTAAACATTTGCGATCAGACAAGGTTCACTTCAGAGTTTATGAGCTGGAGGCCAGGCTACAGAAAATTCAGCATATCAGGATGAGGAAAAGTTACTTGGACCCTTTGTGCCAGGAGGCAGTCATACCGCGAGGAAAGGGTCTTCTGTTTGGTGAGTGGTCAGAGATAGTAGAGTGTGACTGCGATTGAGATAGGTAAGGGGGCCCAAAAAAAGCACGACGGCAGGAGTCTACATTTGTAATTATCCAACAGGTAGAAGCTTCTTTCAGTTTGTTTGGATGAGCTACCTGACCATGGCACTGTCATACAGGAAGCCATTCAAGTGGAAGGAGCAATAAGGTAAGCAGTGGTAGTAGGCGCAGAATAGTGCTTGATATTGACAGTACGAGGAGCTTGCCACCAAATTCAGAGGCAAATCTCAAAAAGAAATCAGCCACATAGAAATTGGCATACGGCAAATATGAAGCAAATGTGTGGCTAAAACACAGTTGTGACAGAAATGGGGTCTAGTTCGCAGGGTACTAACACCAGCACTGGGAGAAATGGGTCTGTACAGTCTCCACCTGAACTGAGCTGGGGCCAGTGATCTAGTGAGCCACGTTTCCAGGGAAGGAGAGGGTTTTAAACAAAAGTGGAAGCAAGGAATCAAATTTCGGAAGATCTGGTAAATCAAACAATAGAGCCAAGGCAATAAAGGAAGGTATTGAAATGAGAATTTTTTAGATATTTGGGCCCATTTGAAACTCAATTATTTTAGTATTTGTGTAGCATGATACCTCATCTAAGTGCTGCTACAGAGCTCTCTCCTTTTCCCAAACATAAACAATTTATAATAAACAAGGACAAAAGGAAAGTGACTATAAAGAGGATCAAGGTGACATCAAAAAAACTATACAAATCCTATTATCAATGCAGTGTTTACACAAATAAAAGTTTTGCTCCCAAAACAAAATAAAACCAACTTTCAAATTAAGGTGGGCAAGCAGGGAATAGTTATCCTAATGAGAGTAGTTGCTCCATGTCATTGGCTAGAAAGGTTCATGCAGCACAAACTACCAGTCTAGAAATAGGGGTTTTCAACAAGTATTCAGAGTCAGAGGTCAGTCCTCGTCAGGCAGCTGTCCACTTCAGACGGAAAAATCGACTAAAAGAGTTTGAGGGAAGAGTTTCCTAAAACTTCAGAGACACAGAGACACAGTTGCCTTCACAATTTTAATGAAATTGAAATACCCTGTGCAAACTGCTTGCTATCCAGCAGTATCCATGAACTATTCTCAATTGTCACAAGTCATATACTTTTTTTTTGCCTAATTATCTAACATATCCTATCTAAACTGTTACTTCAGAAAAAAAAACTTAAACAATCTAAAAATTTGTTGTGATTAATTGACTGCCTATGTTAGATATCTGAGATTTTGGGGATTCAGAACCAAGTAGAAATGATGAACAGACTCTAACAGAAAGAGATACAGAGTACAAATCTAACAGTATCTGAACACAAGGCGAGATGATTTTAAGAAAAGAATAAGACTGAGCAATGATAAAGCCAAATGAGTCATTTGTGGTAGTGGTCCACAGGTCCCCTAACAGTTTGCACACAGTAGACTGGAGTATAATGGAAGAACAATTGGAGCTTGTCAGAGAAGTACTGCAACAATTGTGCGGGATCTTCATCTACACACAGGCAAAGGTAGCCTAACTTTTAAATTTTGATGATGTTTTCTAGAATGGGTCTTAATCCTTCACCCATGTTGCTCAATAACAAAATAAACCTCGTCTTACCAGTGAATGTACGTAATTTCAGCGATGTGTACTGTGGTGCAATTTTTCTTAGTCAACTAGTTTAGAAAAGGACTTACCAGCAATCACACACAATACTAATTAGGTTTGTGAAGTCCCTTCTAAGACACTGTTTTGTAAAGATTCATCATAACAGCTGGCTGTTTAGAACCAAGTCTGGGAATAAGTAATAACCACACTGTGGAGGGAGATAACTTTTTTCAGTATTTTTTTTACCCAATTTCCTAATGGATATCAAAAAACCTCCACCCTCAAAAAGATGAATAACAAAAGTCTTTTCCCTAGGATAGGGGAGTTCAAAACTAGAAGGCATAGGTTTAATGTGAGAGGGGAGAGATTTAAAAGGAACCCGAGAGCCAACTTTTCCACACAGGAGGGTGGTGCATATATGGAATAGGCTGCCAGAGGAAGTGGTAAATGCAGGTACAATTATAACATGTAGAACACATTTGGACAGGTAAATGAATAGGAAAGATTTAGGGAGATATGGGCCAAATGCAAGCAAATAGGACTAGTTTAATTTGGGAATCCTGGTCAGCATGGACTAGTTAGACCAAAGGGTCTGTTTCCATGCTGATACGAAACAAACTTTAAAATGTAAGTAAGCATCAAAATCTTGCAAATTATCACTACAAATCATTTCCCAAGCAATGATATTGAAATGAGTTGGCTCTTAACCAAAAGTAATTCACGACACTAAACTGCAGTTCTATCACAATAATAAAACAAAGGACTGCGGATGCTGGAGATCAAACAAACAAAAACAGAAATTGTTGGAGAAACTCAGGTCTGTTAACATTGAGTTCAGTGATTTTTGCATATTTTTGTCAGTTCTTACATGCTCACTTCCTTTCGCAGTGGAACTGGCAACAGAAAGCTTTGATAACCATTCAACAGAAAATAACATAGCATAAAATATTAAGAGCATGTAAGTCTTCAAAACCATTTGTTGCTGCAGGTTAGTTTCACATTTTGAAATAAGAAAATAACAACTCTTTAAAAGTCAACACACACAAGCATTATTAAACTATTTTGCAGGATCATTACAGTTTCTAGGAGACTTCAAGCTGCAACAATGCCAACTGAAAGGCATTAGACAGTGGTGTCATTTCTCCCACCATCAAAGTTGAAACATCCATCTCAATGATAAATGGCCACTGGACCATTCTACATGGAGACGGTGATTCATATAATCTGAGATGGAAAGCTTCCATGTCAATAACAAAAACCCTAAGCATATCAAAAGTCACCCACTCTACAATAAACTGCAATTTACAGCAAGTAACCTAACATCATTACCTCAAGGGATAGCATCACGATGCATTGCACATTCAGCTAAATCAACAGATCAAGATGAAGTAACTGTCAATGCTTATTACCTCAAATAAAAACAATTCAGTTAAAGACGATGTCAATATTCAGACGTCAAGGAGGTTGATTACTTTTCCAAATTTGCACATCATATCAAAGAACAGAGTAAATATATTTTTTGAATTTTTAATCTTAAATACTCACGACAGGATGGGGAAGACTAATTTCAAGTGAAGTTCCTTTTACCCTCCGTAACCTCCATGTTGGTGGCTCCACTCAGCATTTAGGCCCCGGTTGGAAACTCCCCTAACAACCTGCTGGCCAACCGAATCTGACACCGGAAGTTGCCTCCACCTGATTGACAACCAAACCTGATAGCGGCCAGGGAGCGTCTCCCGGGGAGGGGCGCGGCCTCCACGTGACGTCACCCGTCAATCAGAGCCGGTGACCCACCTCCAGGGACTTGGTCAAACAGTGCCACTGCTGCTTGGTGCCGAGGGTCTGTAACTGCACTCACCAGCCTGGCAACAGCCCAGAGTCCCAGCTACAGTCACACATCTGGCATCAGCCCAGAGTCCCAATTCCAGTCACATACCAGGCATCACATTACAGTCCCAACTACAGTCACAAAAACCGGGGCATCACAGGCGAGAAGACCAGAGAATAGCCAATGTTGTTCTGTTTCAGAAGGGCAACAGGGATAATCCAGGAAATTATAGGCTGAGCCTTACATCAGTGGTTAGGGAAATTATTAGAGAATATTCTTAGGAACAAGATTGACTTGAATTTGGAGATGAATGGACTTATTAGGGATAGTCAGTATGGCTTTACGTGGGGGAGATCTTGTCTCATAAGCGTTATTGAGTTTATTGAGGAAGCAAGGATAGGGCAGTGGATGTTGTCTATATGGACTTTACTGAAGCATTTGACAAGGTCTCTCTTGGTAGGCTGGTCCAGAAGATTAAGTTGCATGGAATCAAACAAGAGTTGGCAAGTTGGATACAAAATTGGCTTAGTCATTGAAAACAGAGGGTACTTGTGGAAGGGTGTACTTCTGACTGGAAGGCTATGACCAATGGTGGTTGGTAAGGATCACTGTTGGGACTACTACTGATATGGATGAACATATAGATGGTCTGATTAGCAAAAACCAAAAGAACTGTGGATGCTGTAAATCAGAAACAAAAACAAAAGTTGCTGGAAAAGCTCAGCAGGTCTGGCAGCATCTGTGAAGAGAAATCAGAATTAATGTTAACTACTCAAGAAACTTAGAAATATATAAAATTATGAGAGGCAAAATAGGGCGGATAGTTGGAGTCTCTTTCCCAAGGTGAAAATGTTAAATACGAGGGGGCATAGGTTTAAGGTGAGAAGGGAAAATTTTAAATGGGATGTACGAGGAAAGCTTTTTTTACATGAAGGGTGATAGGTGCCTGGAACTCGCTGCTGGAGAGGTGGCAGAAACAGATATGTTATAAACTTAAACAGGCATTTAGACAGACACATGAACAGGCAGTGAACAGAGGGATATGGACCATGTGTAGGCAAATGGGATTAGTTTATAATAGCATCATGGTCAGCACAGACGCAGGTTGTTCTTGCTCTGTATTGTTCTATGTTTTATCACCCCAGGGTTCCCACTATAGTCCCAAACCTAGCATTATCACAGTTCCAATTACAGTCATCTAGCGCGAAGCCTGAGTGCCAGCTGCAACCACAAAACTAATGGTAGTATTCCAAACATCTAAAGTACTCGTTGGAGTATTGCTAGACAGAGGTCCTCTTTAACCTGGGCAAATTGATCAGGGAGGGAATTTAGGATTGTGAGGGGAGAGGGCCTGTTATGGTCTTTTAGAGAATAAGGACTTTTTCAAGATCAGGCCTTGGGGGACCGAGGAGTAGGCGATGGAGTTTAATTTAGATAAATGTGAGGTGTTGCATTTTGGTAAGGCAAATCAGGGCAGGACAGATACTAATTTTAATTATAATATCCTTTATTGTCATGTGTATTCAGTACAAAAGACAGTGTAAAGTGAACATATGCGCCATACACACTAACTTAGAATTAAATAAAAGAAAGATAATTTGAAGAGAGTCCAACTTTTCTTTCTCTGCTATTACAACATGCCGCTGCCAGAGTCCCACTCTGGGCTTCCCAGCCCACGCCATGCCGCCACTAGGGGCCCACTCCACACGGAAGCAAGAGTCCTGCTTCAGGCTTCACAGGCCGACCGACCAACTCTGTAGCCATGCTGCCTCTGAAGACGCTGCCACCGCTCCGGAGCCCATCGAAGCCGCCTCCTGCTGAAGACCTCGCTTTATCAGGTAACTTTGAGAAAAAAAGAAGGGGTAGAAGGAAAAGGAAATGGAAAAAGAATGCAGACAAAGAGGACAAGCCGGGGCACAGGAGCCCATATGCTGCCTACTCCTTCGCCGCCACCATCTTGGAGACTTACTTAATAGTAAGGTCCCGGGGAGTGTTACTGAACAAAGAGACCATGGAGTGCAAGTTCATAATTCCCTGAAAGCAGAGTTGCAGGTAGACAGGATAGTGAAGAAGGCATTTGGTATGCTTGCCTTTATTGTTAAGTGCATTGAGTACAGGAGTTGGGAGGTCATGTTGCCCATGTACAGGACATTGGCTAGGCCACTTTTGGAATACTGTGTTCAATTCAGGTCTGTTATAGGAAGGATGTTGTGAAACCTGAAAGGGTTCAGAAAAGATTTACAATGATGTTGCCAGGGTTGGAGGATTTAAGCTACAGGGAGAGGTTATTTCTCCTGGAGTGTCGGAGGCTGAGGGGTGACCTTTATAACAGAAGTTTATAAGGTCATGAGGAGCATAGATAGGGTGAATAGCCAAGGTCTTTTCCCCAGGATGGTTTGTCCAAAACTTGAGGAGTATAGGTTTAAGGTGTGAGGGGAAAGATTTAAAAGGAACCTAAGAGGCAACTTTTTCATGCAGAGGGTGGTGCGTGTATGGAATGAGATTCCAGAGGCAGTGGCGGAGGCTGGTACAATTACAACATTTAAAAGGCATTTGGATGGGTATATGAATAGGAAGGGTTTAGAGGGATATGGGTCAAATGCTGGCAAGTGGGACTAGGTTAATTTAGGATATCTGGTGAGCATGGACGAATTGGACTGAAGGGTCAGTTTCCAGCCTATTCGGCCTCTCCCTATAGCTCAAACACTCCAACCCTGGCAACATCCTGTTAAATATTTTCTGAAACCTTTCAAGTTTCACAATATCCTTCTTATAGCAGGGAGACCAGAATTGAATGTATTATTCCAAAAGTGGCCTAACCAATGCTCTGTACAACCACAACATGCTTTTTGTGTGTTATTGGTGTTGCACTCAATCAGGTAGATGAAAGGTATTCCATCAATGCTGATTTGTGCCTTTGTAGATGGTGAATAAGTTTTGGGGAGACAGAAGACTGCCGGATTCCTAGCCTCTGAGAACAACTCTCAAGAAACTTGACACCATCCAGGAAAAGACAGCACTTTTGAATGGTAACATATCTAGAAATATTCACTCCCTCCATTCATATCGCTCACTAGCAGCAATGCATACCATCTGCACATGCACTGCAGAAATTCTCCAAGGCTCTTCATATTAAAAAAAACCCCGATGGCAGCAGATTTATGGAAACACCACCACCTGCAAGTTCCACTCCAAAGCGCACCCATCCTGACTTGGAAATGTATCATCATTCCTTTAAAACTCTTGGTCAAATCCTGGAAACTCCTAATCGCATTGTGGGTCCACCACAATGGCCTAAAGTAGTTCAAGAAGGCAGCTCAGCACCACCTTCTCAAGGGCATCTAGGGATGGGTAATAAATACTGATGCAGCCAGGGCACCCCTCATCCTAGGAATGAATTTTAAATATATATATATTGTTTTCCCTTTACATTGGTATTATTTTGAACATTGTCCTGATGATTCCAAGATGAAGCGCTTTGATAACGTGGTTTTGTCAGCAACATTTACCATCAATGTGACTGTTTAGATCATAAAATACTAACAGATGAGGAAAACATTGAGCCAGTCTTACTTTATTTCTCTGCAAAGATTACAATATTGCAGTATTTCATTGTTTTGGAAAATAATTCTTACATTCTTGTCTTTTTCCTGTGTTGACTGCTTGGTGAACAATGAACAGTAATCTCAAAATTCTCTTTTATTAGTTGCAATGATATTCTCTTGTTCTAAACTCCCATCATATATAACTCTTGAATCAAATATGTGAATAGATGGAGTTCCTCTTATTATAAAAACATTTTATAGATAATATTGTTTGGATGACTTAAGTTTTGAAGGATTGTAGAAAATAATTTCATGAGTAAATAAAGTACAAGATTATTCTGGTAATTGGAAAAAGTATTTTCATTTTATATAGTAATCCATGGAGTAGTGGGGCTACAGCAACAGTACATTCCTTCAGCCTCACTCATAATACCGATTTGCTCCATTTTAGCTAAGAGATTACTACTTATCCCTTCAACTAAATGCATTCTATTGTTTGCAGTTTATGACCAAATGGCACAACCTTGTGGTTTAGAAACCTGCAAGCTTAAGAGACTTAGTGACCAATCTCTTCCCATCAGATACCACATCTCAGTTACAGATCCTCTCCCAAGTTTGATGCGACTCAAGCCCTCTTCTCCATCTTTTTGAAAGTCCTATAGCAGTTGACTTATTTCCTGCTCTTGTATGCATAGTACCTTCTGTTTCCTATTTACTCATTATTCCTGGTCAGTACTGTCCTCCTCCTGATGATGCATTCAGGCTATCTGTCAATAGTCACCATGTCCAATTGTGAGGCAGAAAAGTTGACTCCATTACTTACTGCTGTCAAAGTGATACCAGAACTCAAAGCCTTCCTTCAAAGGTGCTTCATCTGTTCTAGAATTAAATCATTTCTTCTCAATGATCATCTATGGTGCATAATTCTACATAAGCTTTTTTTTTCCCCATAGAGTGCAGTTAATGAGGGTGTAAAGGTCAACCTGTACTTCTGCAGAGGTTCATAAAATTATTTTAGAATAGAGGAATTCATGAATATGCACAGTTGTCTCATCTACTCACTGTCACCATTTCACTGCAGATGCAATTCCACTTTGTCACTAAAATGAGCAAACAAATGACATTAAGATCCTTTATACACAAAACAAAAAGGTAATTTGGGTATTTTAGAGTGACAGTAACAACAAAAGCATTCTGAAGATAAATCTTTCAAGCATGTGTGACAAACCAGTATGGAACAGTTAACATGACTGTACCAGTGAAACTGCT